GGCCGTTTAGATGCAGTGCTGAGGGACATGGTGTAGGGGAGGACTTTGTAGAGTAGGGGAGATGGTTGGGCTCGATGATCCCAAGGGTCTCTTCCAACCTCAATGATTCTATATGCATGTTTATACGCTTAATATGAACTCTTACCAGGCTGCAGGAAGTAATTGGAGACCCCCCCCAAAAAAAACCAACCCCAAAGTGTATGTATCTGAGGTACATTCTATTAATGGGACTTCAGAGATAACGATTTTACAATTGTGTTGTCTTTCTAACCAACACACAGCAGAAGCAATGATAAATGTACTTCCTAGTGGCAGCATTACCCAACACCCAGCCCGGCAGAACGTTCCACAGGGCACGGACATCAGAGTTATGTTTCAAGTAAGCGACTGTTAAGAATACAAGCACTTAACCAAGACAATGAAAATTATTATTTAAGATTCCAGAGGTTGTATTTATCGATGTCTTAGACTGGGATACTAAACCTCTCAAACACACCTGCAGGTAAGTGGCACAAAATGGTTGCCAAACTTCATATTAGTGTCCATTTTCTAAGTTCTCAAACAGTCTCAGAAAACGAAGAGAGAAGTTTCTCTCTCCAAAAATACAATCATGCGAAACAACCCACCTCCTTTCCAGTAAGGAAATGCTCAGAGCAACACTGATGCTCCTTCTTGCAAGGCCACGAGATTTCTCAGAAATAAGCCCACCTTGAGAAGAGATTTAAAAGATCTCAAAACAGCATCCTCCGAACAAACTACAAAATCCCTCCACTTTTCCCAGTAGAAATAATATTCCACCAATAAAGAATGAGAAGAATTAAAACAGGAAGAGCCTTGCTAATATGACTGACAGCACGTGTAGGAGCCAATCCTGCAACGGGTAGTATCACAAAAGCTGCTGAGAAGGAATAAATGCTGTGTTTTTCCAACAGATGGATACATGATGGGTTAAACACAGTGTCAATATGAAAAGCTGCAATTTCTAAATTCAGACCTTTTCTGAACTGTCAAAACAACTCACCAGTTTGAAGTAAATTCTGAAAAGATTCCCAAAAGATTCAACCTATTACTGAAGAAAACTGATTAATAAGTCTAGTATCGATCTGTCAGAAGTGTAGGATGGCTTTGCCTTTCCCTTTCAAAGCCCTCCCCACAGCAGCACCCTGGGAATTCAGCAGGAGGGCCCACAGAGAAATCATGAAGCAAAAATAATAAAAGGAGACAAGAAAATGAAGAGAAGCTCAAAAATTAACTCTCTGGGTTTCTGAGTTCTCTTCTTTCACATGAATTAATGTCATGTTCAGGAAAAAACCCCCAACCTGTCCTTTGAAGGGCACACGTTGTTCCTCAGAAGCACAGTGATAAACTCAAATACCCAACTATTTAATGCATCTCCTTAAAGGCACCAACAATAACTCTGTATGGGGAAAAATTAAAATAACTGATGCAAACACGTAGAAAAGGACACAGACTGAGTTAACAACCAACACCTTTGTCTCTGAAAGCAAAAGGATGATGCACTGGAACTTTCTTACGCTCGAGTTGCTGTTGGAAGCAGCACTGAATCTATTCAGACACCAAAAATCAAGATTATTGTGAAAGATGTGATTTGGAGATTCAGTCGCAGAGATGCTGCTGGGACCAAGGACGAGACAGCAAGACACAGTTTGTCTTTTTTTTTCTCACAAAAGGTTTTTAGTCCTCTTTTCTCCACCATGAAGCCTAGTGAAAATGCAGTTAATTGTGGTTCCCTCCCACCACCCGAAGCGTAATTAACAACAGCTACCCACAAATACAGGTCTACCTTTTTTTTCTGTCTGAAAGGCAGTGGACACTTTTAATTTGTATGCACAGCTCTGATCTGCTGTGGACACCAGCCAGTCTCTAGCAACTTTAAGCAAAGATCAATCCATTTCTTTAATTAGAGACGTGAATTAATGGCAACTGAAAGGACCCCTTCCAATCCAGCGGGCCCTAAACAGTGAATTTTGAGATGCTGCCTGCCCTCGAGAATTGCCTTTGTAAGATTTTCAAACCATCCAGTGATTTACGGTGTCTGGGTGCTGCTTGGCAGTACTTTCCACCTCTGTGCTGATAAAGAAGGAAACCTTTATTGCACCTTGAACTGTCAACAAATGCTTTGAAATTTCATAAGAGTTCTTGCATTTGTCCTTCACGTTTCCAGAGTTTAAAAAAAACCAACCTCAAACTACCTGCCTTTCCACACAGAATAATGCTTATGAGCATCTATGAGTCACATTAACTTTCTCCACCATCAGAATATGCTTAATTCCATTGGCCTCACACCATAATTCTCCAACCGGGTACTGAACCTCGTTGTGACAGCCCAATTAGTTCTGCTGGCAACATTAATGAGGTTATGATTATTTGAGAAATACACCTAGCGAGTATGAATTCCTATGCAGCCCTCTGGTTAAAGGGGATATTACAACTTTAATAGAAGGAGACATCAAAAAGCATTTGCCCACACAAAGGAATTCAACAACTGTGTTTAAATTTAATATAACATATGATAAAGAGAGGAGTTGGAGTAAAAGCCTGTCACTGCTTCTCACACAATATTATTTATGGCTCCATATAGGACCAACTCCAGGACATCTGCAGACAGCAATCTTAATACCTTCTGACACAACTGGGTTGAGCCATCTATTATCACCCACAGATCCTCTAAAAACAAATAATGGTTCAAATAATTATGCCGTTCAACATATTAACTTCCCAGACACCAACGAGGGGAACCACAGTGATAAAATGACCTGGTTTAGGGAAGACCAGTGAAAAGAATGATCTGTATGCCGGGCTTCAAAACAAAAGCCTTTAATATTAGGATCACACTCTCCACTGAATAAATGTCAGAGAAATAAACTTGATAGAACAATATATTTTCCGTGCTCTAAAATGATGAATTTTAAAAAGGACCCAGAACATGAAACTACAAAGTCTTTAACCACTAGGGAATAAATTCAAATACCAAGCAGGTCAGTAATAATCTAATGTCAACTGTTGCCATAAAAAAATGGGACGATGATAAACAATGAAGTACCAAGCTGCCAGGGAGTTATTTAGTGGGAACTGTGAGGATCTGTATTATTCTTAGTTATTCTGGGTATCTTGATTAGAATTTTAAGGACAAGGCAATGTTTCTCCCAACCCTATTTCACCACTGTTTATAACCCAGAGCATGAAAGCTGTCAGCCTACCTCTTAGATTCTTCCAGACACTGATCTTATTCAGCTCGGGTGCTTGCTACCTTGTTTGCAACCTTACTTTCCTGAGAAGGAAAATACACCGTCGAGCAATCAATGAAAGGGGAATCTTTGGGCCGGGGAGGTTTAGTACACAACGCAGATTTTGCTGATGTAAATGGCATATACTTCTCCTGATTTCCTCCCTCCCTAGTGTGGGCAGCACTATCCAGCTGACTCCCACTCCTGCAGGATGGGTAATTGCCCCTTCCATTCCCGGTTGCGTACCCCTCTGATCACTACGACAATTCGCATTGTTGGAAAAATATACAAGAAATGTTTATCATATGTAAATTAATTAATTTCTCGTGGCAAGCTAGACAAAAACGGCCAGCACCAAGCAGTCCACTCTCTGCAAAAAGCGGTGAACGCCTGAATCTTAAAACATTTGAACAGTATCTAATGTAGGCAAACCTGTTCATTCCACTTTGCTTTACGCTCCACTGCATCAATGCTTTTATTTACTCTCCAGCAACACTGGGATCTCTCTCAATACGCTGGCCAAAATGTCCTTATATTCTAGGTATAGTTGCAGCACAGAAAGTTTTCTGTTTCAAAAGAAACAAGATCCCCCGAGCTGCTCACGGCATGTGCTGCACTTCATTGAACATGGGAGAAGACAAGATCTCTGTCCTGAAGATCTCAGCCCAGCGGAGACCTTGGCAGGTCAGTCCAAATACAGCACGAGGTGCTGAGGATGAAATACCTCAGTGACTTACATGTGACAGACAACACACAACGCAGCCCAGAACTGAAGAATAATCTTTTCTTGATAAAAAGAATTACTTCTCTGAAAGAAAAAAAAGTGGTATTAGCTAACCATAAACAGCAACATTAAACCAAGATCCCGCTATACAGAAGAGCTGCTTTTATCATGACGTACCTCTTGAAAACGGACCTCAAGCTACAGGTAGATTTCATCCCCTGAAATATCAACTTCTTGCACCTTATTTCCATGACAGCATCACACGTGGCTACACCATGGTGAGCAGCTGCCCATGGAGACCCTGAAGAACAGGGGGGTCTGATCCCATGGCCTGGCCCTCACCCACACCAGCATCTGCCCTGTCCTGCCCAAGGGTGCCATGTCCCATCAGCAGCCAGCACCTCCCAGGCCACGCTTTCAATAAAGAACTACTACATAAAGGCAAGAACTATTTTAATGAAAAGTTTTCACAGAATCACAGAACAGTTCGGGTTGGAAGGACCTTAAAGCCCCCCCAGTGTCACCCCCTGCCCTGGGCAGGGACACCTCCCACCAGCCCAGGTTGCTCCAAGCCCCCTCCAACCTGGCCTTGAACCCCTCCAGGGATGGGGCAGCCACAGCTTCTCTGGGCAACCTGGGCCAGGCTCTCACCACCCTCACACCAAACAAGTTCTTCCTGAGATCTCATCTAAATCTGCCCTATTTCAGTTTAAAACTGTTCCCCCTTCTCCTACTGCTCCCCTCCCTGTTCCAGAGTCCCTCCCCATCTCTCCTGGAGCCCCTTGAGGGACTGGAAGGGGCTCTAAGGTCTCCCCGGAGCCTTCTCTTCTCCAGGCTGAACCCCCCCAGCTCTCTCAGCCCCCCTCCCAGCAGAGGGGCTCCAGCCCTCCAACAGGTCCGTGTCCGTGCCGCGCTCTCCTCCCTCACGGCTCCCTCAGGGAGATGGCAGGAGGAGGCGGAGCCGCGCGCGAAGGAACCGGCCTTCCCTTCCCGCCCCCCCGGTTCCGCGGCCGGTCCCGCCTCGGACGGAACGGGGCGGGACAGAACGGCGTCGGGGGCCGGGCCGGGCCGGGCTTTTCCCTCCGCTCCTCGGGGCCAGGGTCACCGTCCCGCCCCGCTTCGCTCCCCCCGGCCGGAGCGGCGGTGAGTGGCGGGGAGCGAGAGGTGCCCGCCCGGATGAGGGTGGTTGTGCGCGGCCGGTCCCCTCAGCGCTGTGAGGAGGGGGAAGGCGCCTTCCCAGAGCTCCGGTGTGCCCCAGGGAAGGGAACGCCTGGAGGGGAAGGTGCCGGCGGGGCCTCAGGGGGAGCAGGGGGCTGGGTCCCTGCTGTGTGAGGAATTACTCGCCCTGAGGGCGAAACGCTGGGTCCCAGTGGGGCCAGTCAGTGTGCCCGGGGGACTCGGGCCTGGGGCAGGGCTGCGGAGGCCGCAGGAGGCCCGGTGCGTGGGCGGGCAGTGGTGCGGGGAAAGGGTAGCCTGAGCACCTCCCTCCTGTGAGGGGTCTCTGAAAGGCAGTTTGTCAGTTAAAGTGTAATTACGTTAAATAGTTGTTTGTTTTTTTTTTTTTTTTTTTTTAAATCATGTTTTCTGCCTGGAAATTCTGGACTGTGAAGTGAAAAACCAACAAACCCCAAAGCAGCATCCCACCTCTCTTGCCTTTGGGTTTTACCTAGGAAATGCATGGAGAAGAGTTTCTTAATCAGCTGTTTCTTGTTGGAAATGTGTGTTTTCTCATGACTGTGGTGCGTGGCCGTCACGTTAGTGCCTGCTGAGAGGATGGAGCTTCGTTCCCTCAGGTGCTCTTCTAACGCGCGTCCCATTTCCAGTGACACAGCAGCCTCCTCTCCCTGGTGTTGTCACCATGTCTGTAAGACAAAGTGACTTTTAGAAAAGCAATTCAAACGGTTCTGTGGCTTCTCTTTTTCAGGCCCCTTCCTGAAGCACTAAGCTTGCTTTCTGCAGCTCTGTGAAGGTGTTACCTCAGCCTTGTGAGGAGTAGAAGCTGTACGATAGCAGATACCTGTTTGCAGACAACTTTAAAGTTGTTTTATTTGCTATCTGTAAGTATACTTGGGGCTTCCAAGTTATTTATTTACTGATGTTGTAACACATACCTATTTTTCACTGTGAAAATTAGTTACTATCAATCATACCTGATATTATGAAGCATTTCTAGTTCAGTCAGGCATGGTATTTGCTGAAATTCATTTTCTTGCTCCTTAACCATCCCTGTGCTGCTTGTGCAGCTGCAGCTTCTTAGGTCAGCCGTGGGCTGGAGAACTCATTGAGGCTCTGTTTGCATTGCCTATTGTTTTTCTCCACTAGACCCGGTCTTAATAACCAGCCTCCAGCCTAAATCAGTGGTGGTGTAATGAACAAAATAATTACTTAGTGATTATTAATATTTAACGTTTCAATCAGAGCAACTCTTTTAATTTTGCAGACAAAAGGAAAACCTTTGGACCTAGAAATTTGGCGCTGCAGATTAGTTTTGGAAGCCTAGCCTTGGGAAAGGAGTCTGGAATTTGTTTTGGGGCACAGGGCCTTTACATAGTGGGACAGAAAGACTTTGGCAGTAACGTGGCGTGTAAAACAGGCAGCACAGCGTATTCAGTAGGGAAATAGCCAAAGGCAATACCTTTAAAATGAAGATGCCTTAACCCTGGTAAGAAACACCAAGTACAGTGTCAAACCTGAATTTTGGGCATCACAGAAAATGCCTTTTACCTACCTGCTGTTGTCATATTAGGGTTCCCACTTCTCTGATGAAGGAGGACTGGCTGTGACTGCTGCATCTTTCCAGGGGGGGTGTTTCCTGTACGTTTACTCTCCTTACTTTGTAAGAATAGGAAAGAAACTTATTCTCGAGCAAAATTATTCAAGACAAAGTTATCTAGGTCCATAAATTTAAAGGAAGACAGGGTATTGCGTTATTCTAATAAGAAAAGGGGTACAATAAGTGAGAACAAAGCTTTAAAATACATCTGTTACATCATCTGAGGGTTTTTTTCCTGGAGCTTGAATCTGGAGAACTTTTAATTTCTTTTTTTTCACACTGGGAGCATGACTCCTCGTTTGAGAGCACCAGCTGGCTGATGCTCGTTATGTTTTCTTTTTAGTTAGACAAAATCTGAGCAGAACAAGGAGGTTTTGCATTTCTGAGTGTTGAGAGGCTTAATAATCTGAGGGCGGAGACATACTGTATTTTAAATTCTTTTTGTTGGGTTTTTGTGAATGATTTTATCCAAGCGTTACTTGGTTATTCACTACAGATTTGAAAGGAGTGCTGCTCAGAATTCATTGCTGATACTCAGTGATAATTGTTACTGTGTGTTTACCTGGTAGATCTTAACGATGCACTACTTTGATCAGCCTTTGGGCTTTGAAGGGTGTTGGCTTGATCCAGTGCACTGATTAAGTCGTTATTTCATCCACCTGTGGTGGGAGCTGAGCTGCAATAGTCCTCCATGTGTCCCCCGTTGCTGTAATCCAGTCATTCTTCCTGTATAATTGAACCTGTTACATGCTTTTGTGTTTATTTGCAGTGCTGCACCATGGCTGTGCCTGCGGGTGGAAAGCGGCAGGCGGAACTGAGCCAGAGCCACAGTAGCTCTGGTTTAGGCTGTTCAGAAGGTACCTTTGAGCCCTTCAGCAAGGAAGAAGAACTCTGCTGGCAGTGAGAGAGCGAGCCAGCTGAATCCTGTTGTTCCACAGAGGATTTAGAGTGGTCTGCTGGGTCAGACGCGTTGGAAAGCATGGCCTGTTTGGCAGGCCAGAATCCTGCAGGTAGGCAGAGCTTACCATGCTTGAGACCTGTCTTCTACAGCTCTAAATCAGTGCAGGGGAGACTGGAAAAATAAAAAATGTAAAAATTGTGTACAGTGTCACTGCTGCGCAAAGTAACAGAGCCTCAGTTTGCTGACTAGATCTGTGCTTTGTGCTCTCAGGATTTGCTGGCAGCTACGTGCAGGAGGGTGTGATTTGGCCATGGAAACCTTTCCTTAGTGATCTCCTGAGGCTGGAATTCTGTTGGCTTGTTAAAAAAAAAATTAATAATTTCCCTCCAAAGTTAACAGGACTTCAGAATTTATTGCGTGAAATGTCCCCCCCCCCCCCCCCCCCCCCCTCCCCCCCCTCACCCTTCTCTCCTCTTCTTTTTTTTTTTTTTTAAATATTGTAAGCTTTAAATAAATCTAATTTCCATTTGGATGAAGTGTAACTGTTTCTCCTTGATCAAGCCAACTGCTTATTCCCTCTCAGGGCTCCTTCTGATTAGGCTTTATGTAAGCCTGCATTCCCGTTATCTAGGTGGTGAAAGGAAGGGCAAAGTCCCTGTGCTTGGTGGGGGAGAGCTCCGGCAAGGTCCGCACGTGGCCGCATGGGTCTCCAAAGGGAGGCATGGAAGAAGACAGCAGAGGAAAGGCACTGCTGATCCTTGGGGTGCTGGGGACACTGGTGCATCCCCCCCCCCCCCCATTAATCACTCATGTTAATTACTGAATTGCTTGTTTGCCATGTTTTAGTTCTTTTCCCAAGCTGAGGGAGGCAGCAGGGCACCAGTTTTGGCCAGAACAATGGAGCAGCTTTAACCAAACCCACCAGGATGTGGTGTATGGAGGAGGTGAGGGGAAGGGAGGAGAGAAGGCTGCTCTCTGCAGCTCCTGGTTATACAAGCAACTGTGAGAGCAGATGGTGGGATCCAAGTCCCGCTTAAGTCTTTCTAAAAAGTGGGTCAGAGATACTATTTTTAATTAAAAAAAAGAGCAAGAAAGCTGTAGTTGAGCAAAAAATAATTGAAGCAGAAGGGGAATCTTCCTCAATCTGTACGTACATGGAAAGTGAACAAACTCAGAAGTTTTGTAGGTGACCTGTAAGATTGAGTAACCAGGGAGATCCTCCTGCCTTGGTACTTCGTGGCTTTGCATTTGCGTACAAGCTTCCTCAAACCGCCCATGTATCAGAGGAAAACATGACCTAGGATCATTTTCAGGCTATTCTTAATTGTCTAACTCATTCACAACACTGGTGAGTCAATGTTATGAGTTCCTGACTCATCTTCAGCATTTATCTTTCTATTACTGGCTTTCCAAGAAGGCAGTTAATGTAGATCATCTCATCTATAGTAGAGAGGCTTCTCCTGGCGAGCTCCCCTGAGAGAGTCTTCCTAAAATACAGCAGAATCTTGTGACCATTTGATTCATAGAGAAATTGAAAGTTCAGAGTCATTGAATGAATGGGAAGCAATGGTGTCACTTTGAGGAAGTTTTCCATCTCAGCAGAGCTTTCCCTTGAAAGTTATGCTTGAGAAGATTTTATCCTCTTAATGATTAAGTTTCAGATTTTTGTAGTTCCGCACAAGGGAACGTTCTTCCCCCTTCTTCTTTCCCCCTCTGCTCTGTCCTGGGGAGGCCCCAGCTGGAGCACGGGGTCCAGTTCTGGGCTCCCCAGTTCCAGGAGGACAGGGAACTGCTGGAGAGGGGACAGCAGAGGCTACAGAGATGCTGAGGGGCCTGGAGCATCTCTCTGATGAGGAAAAGCTGAGGGACTTGGGTCTGTTTAGTCTGGAGAAGAGAAGGCTGAGGGGGGATCTGATCAACACCTATAAATACTGAAAGGGTGGGTGTCAGGAGGATGGGGCCAGGCTTTTTTCAGTGGTGCCCAGGGACAGGACAAGAGGGAATGGGCACAAAGTGGAACATCAGAAGTTCGACCTAAACATGAGGAGGAACTTCTTTGCTGTGAGGGTGGCAGAGCCCTGGCAGAGGCTGCCCAGGGAGGTGGTGGAGTCTCCTTCTCTGGAGACATTCAAACCCACCTGGACACGTTCCTGTGGGACCTGCTCTGGGTGGCCCTGCTCTGGCAGGGGGTTGGACTGGATGATCTCCAGAGATCCCTTCCAGCCCCATTTTTACAACTTAGTAATTCGGTACTCGGGAGCCCCCAAACCTCTTATTATTTCATCAATTGGAGATAAATTAATCCTTTTGCTCGTTTCTTTTCCTGCAGCGTTACGGCTGAACTACTGCTGGCAGCAGTGGGAGCTGGAGCTGTTACTGTGTGTCACTTAGAGGCCTGGCAATGTTTGAGCAGCATCAGGCAGTTTTGTGGCTGAAATACAGCTCAGTGTCCCCCGTTTAACTGTTATTGTTACTGTGAGAGGGGTGTCAATGGTGGGAAATCTAAAAGAGGCCAGTGTAGATACAGGCAAATAACTATCTGTGGTTCCTGTTGCTGAGGTGGAAGGTGCTGGTGGGTACAGGCAGACGTGTGTGGGCTGAAGGGAAGTGTGTTTATTTTTCTACATTAGACTCTTTCCAGCTTGTCCAGAGTATTTCTGAGTAGATCTAGTTTATATGCACTTTGTGAGCAGCTTTTCATGTGTCCAAGCATTTAATTATTGACTTACCGAATAGTAGTAGTACTTTATTAAAAGTATTTGTTAAGAGTAGTAGTAGTCTATTCATAAGGACTGAGAAAACATCCTTCTGCCCTGTTTGGAGAAGGGAGCAGGTATCCAGTAGTATGAAGGGGCTCTTCCCTGTTCCTGAGCTTTTCAGTGCCAAAATTTACAGCTCAATAACATGGACGGGCTGGGGGATTCCTCCAGACCCTGACATTCCAGACTTCTCTTCTGATTCTCTAGTAAAATAGCATTCATGTAGGCTAGATGGGGAAATTCCTCCCAGCAACATCTAAATGGAAATGCCTGCTTGTAAAGCAAGTTCATCTACTTCATTAACACCTTTATGGAATTGGGAAATAATGAGCTTCTTCCAAAAGACGTGTGTTCTGCAAGGTCCTTGTCTCATCTTAGTAATGTTGGTGGAAGCTGAGTGTATCCTCCACTGTGCTGGAGGAACTTTATTGGCTTTAAATTCATATTTGTAATAAATAGCCTGATATCTCAGACTGTTTCTATCAGTTCTGTGTTTTATCTGCATGAATCTTCCAAACGCTGTGTTTGCAGATCGGGCTGTTCAGTGAGTTAATCTGAGCGGCTGCACTCAATTGGATAAATGCAGGCAATTAGGAAAATGTTATCTTCTGATGTAGAGTTAAAGTCTTTCTGAAGAGCAGTTACCAGTTGCTGCCTTTCACAATTATCTCTCCTTTAACCACTTTACATTTTTTTCATCTTAAAATAGAGCATTAGTACAGCATAATAAGAACAAAACGCTTGCCTATTTTCCTGTTAAATCAGAGTTCGACATCAAAGGCAAAGGCAACTCAATAAAGATTTTCTTTATTTTTCTCTCTCTGCTCACATAGATTTAGAATGTCATATTTAAAGATGTAGTTGCTTACAGAAGGCAAAACCTATGTAGGTCACTTAGTTATAAACCGCCGAGCGTGGTTTAGGATGTAGACATGGAGATGAGTTTATTGCCGTGGGTACACGCTGAGAACCAGAGCAGCTCCTTGGTCTGCTTTGTTGCACTTGACTTTCTAAATATTCCCTGCTTGGTGACCTCACTGCTGTGTGACACAGCTCTGCTCTGATGTCTGTTCTGGTGGCTGGCTTTGCTCTTCTTGTCACCCCCTCCTGCCTTACTCCTCCCCAGCGAAGAGGGTGTGAGAATGTGGGGCTGGGGGCAGCCAGGCAGCAGCAAAATGCTCTTCTGGAAGAGTAACTGGCGCTGGCAGGGATTGTCTGCAGACAGACACGCGGTGACATTTAAATCTGCCACCACAAATGGAGATGGAGCGGTCGAGCACGTCTGGCTCGGAGATGGAAAGGAGGGGATACGTGAAAGACACAAGAAATAAAACCAAGCAGCAAAGCAAGTGCATCCCTCCCCTTGCCCACAGCTCTTTTCTTTCAGCTGAAGAACAGGTGAACCTCGGATACGCAGGAGAAAATCTGAAAGTGTAAATCATCCCTGTGCAGTTAAAAGTTAACTTTTCAGAATTTAATGGTGCACTGACTTTTCTCATCGTCTTTTCTTCTTGTTTCAGTGAAATCACAGTCCTTGATCCTTGATAATTTCTATTCTTTCTGAGTTTATTTACTGTTGAACACGAATTAATATTAAATGAGTAACTTTTTGACATTGGTTGTGTGCGGTCAGGTTAAAAAAAATTGCTGTTATTTTTGCTAATGTTTCTTCTAATGTATGCACATAACAGCTACTGGCTGTCAGAGTGCAGTCCTGGAAAGGGAACGCTGTGTTAGCACTATCTATATGCAAAGGTATTCACAGGACTTCTAGTAATTCTTACTGTAGTGTTTTGTCTCCTCATTTCTCCTTTAATTACACCATTAAAGCGTTTAGTTGGGCTTCAGTAGTCTCATAAAAGCAAATTCTGTGTGATAAAGGTAGAGAGGTACCCTCCCCTGTTTAAATAGTTGAAACCAGTGGTATCTCTTAAGGCCATGGCTGGTGCTCATGAAATACTGCCATTGTAACACAATTACTCAAGTAATAAGCCTGCATTGATTGACTGGGTTTAAGGCTGTGGAAAATCTCCCACTAAGCATTGGGTGAAGCTGTAAATCTGTCCTTACCTGCCCATCTGAAGTGTAATCTCTCAGATTTTATTTATAAGATGCCACTGGGAAGGATGAGAGAAGATGAAAGGGTAAAAAGGTATTGTTTAAACAAGGTTATATAAAAATTTAGGAAATGATCATTGAGGCTTTAGAGGAAAGTATTTTCTAGTATAATATACATTTCCTCAAAAAAAAAACCCCAAAGATGCTTAATTGTAGTTGTAGAATATATTTGAGGTATTTTCCAGAGATACTTCAGTAGAGACTGCCTCTCATTTTTCAGTGTCTTATGAATTGCTCCTCAGAGTTACCAGATGAGTAGCTCTCTTTAAATGTGAATTCATTTTGGTTTAGCAAGTTGCAGTTTCAGGTAGGAAGAAGCTAAATCTGTATTAGGCAGTCATTGAAACTCATTTTATTTAATGCCACAGTATTTAAGTACTTGCTTGACTAATGTGTTTGTGCCTTATCATTAAGTAATCTAATTCTTTAGGGTTCTTATCCCTTCCCCTCTTTGGAGACTATTTATAGAGACATTTATCGTGCGAGTTCCTACAGTTATCATCCAGACTTTTATTGAAATTCTGCGCTGCTGTTATTACAGTCATTGCTTCTAGGCTTGGCATTGGGGTTGTTTTTCTATTAAATAGATAAGATGAGGTCGCACAGATACGAGACCAGTGATTCTTCTCTTTCCCTGATACAGTAATTGACGCTTTTGTTTTGTTGGTTTGTGCCGGCCAGAAAGGAGCGAATTATGGGATGGAGAGCTGGATGCTCTCGGGTCTTTCTGCACCGTGAGGATTAGTGGGCTGCGTTGGCAGCTGCTCTCTGAGCGGGCACGTGGTGCCAAGTCAAGAAAGCCCCACCATGGATTCATGGCACAGAAACCGGAGACGAGTGATCGGAACCGCGTCGTTCCTCATCGGCTCATTAACAGAATCCGCCTGAAAAACATCAGAGAGACTGTTAAACAGGTACTGCAAGGAAGAAAAAAATTACCTACACTTTTGGGAGAACTACTGGGGAAAAAAGGTGTAGAATCGTAGAATTGTCTGGGTTGGAAGGGACCTTTAAGATCATTGAGTTCAACCATCAACCTAACTCTGATAAAACCATCACTAACCCATGTCTCTAAGCACTATGTCAACCCGGCTTTTGAATCCCTCCAGGGATGGTGCCTCAACCCCTGCCCTGTAGTGAAGGGTCAAGTCAGGCAGACCTTACTGGTGCTCAGGCCTCTGAAAGAGATTTTTTGGCTTGATGTCTCCAGATTGACCTTTCTCATCTTTGTGTCAGAGACAGCTGCAGAGCTGCTGCTACCGAATAATCAAATCGTTGTAAAATATTATCTGGTGCTAAAATAATGATTTGTGTCACTGAGTGATGCTGGGATGGTCAGTTGTTGCAGTGCACAGTTAGCCCTGGATCAGCTGAAGGAAAAAGCCTTGTTTTTTGTTAATGTTTGCACCTATTATTTACAGAAGTGTTCTGCATATTAGGTGATCGTTTACACAATTCAAAGTGCTTTTCTTTTTCGCCAGCCCAGTGTTTTTTCCCCACCATAGGATGGGCATTCTGACACAGCTCTTCCCTTCAGCATCCAAGAGTCTCCAGACTGGTATTTTAGTATATTATTTTTTTTTGGCCAATGATACTTTCGTTCTTTGTGCTTGCAGGTCGATTTGAATGTGGGTTTCTGTGAATTTGAGCAGTGACTGTTACTTACAGATGTGTCTGCCCATAAATCTGGGCCTTGACAAACGTCTGTACTTTGTTTGAAAGTGGTACAGAACGTCTGCATCTGGGAAGGTGTTTCTGATAAAACAAAAAAAGAGCTCAGAATAGTAATTACAGTCATTTATTTTGTTTTATCTCTATCACATTTGCTGGCTTTAATTTATTGCCATATAGCATAGTGAGAGTGATAAGGTGTTTCTCTCCAAAGCCTGGCCAGGTGAGCAGGGAGCAATACTTCTGAAGTCAGTTCTGGCCTGATGGCTGTTTCAGGATTCCTGCTTGGTTAAATTGTTTTGAAATTGGAGCAATCTGCGCTCTTTTCTTGTATTAATGGTAACCAAGCCACCATCCGAGTTTTGTAGAATTTTTACTGCCTCTTTATTTGTTTCAGTGCAGTAATACATTTTCTGGGAGGTGTAACTTGGAGTGCTGTGTCTCTTTGCTTCTCTTTCCCTCCGCATAATGACATTTTTATGCAGAGAAGAAATCAAGGAAGAAGACGACAGAGAGACTTGAGCCATGACTTTCTAGGATTGATTCCACTGCTTTTGTAGCAACTTATTGCATTTATGGAACCAGATGGAATCTGTGTAAATTAAATTAGATGAAATTATTGATATTTCATAAATGCACAAATACTGGGATTTGTGTAATGCTATTAAATGCACTTAAGATTTCTTGATGGATAAACTCGCGTAGGAATTAATCAGTGGCACTGTTTATCTTACAAAGAAAACTGTATAATTTTGTTTGCAGTCTGACTCAGGGCTGCATATAGATATTTGAACTTCAGAGTTTATTTGCCTCTTAGAATTTATAAAGATAATCTTACCCTCTGTGGTTGTGGCAGAATTGTAATTTGTCCTGAGCATCCATCTAGGCTGGAATGAGTTATGCTAATTGAAACCATTTTTTTTCCCCAGTGTAACTGTACCCTCACAGTTGGTTCTGGCTGGTCACCGATGTGTTGCTTGGCAATCATGTGAATTCCTTTATTTTGACCTTTATTTCTGTGAAAGAAGGCAGTAATGTCCATGCAGCCTCAAGCATCAGGGAAGCTTTGCATATTGCAAGAAGAAATAGTATATTACAGATCAGTGCTGTGGTTCTCAGATACAAATAGGTAACTGAGGGGAGACCTTCTCGCTCTCCCCAACTCCCTGAAAGGAGGGTGTAGCCAGGGGGGTCGGTCTCATCTCCCAAGGAACAGGTGATGGGACAAGAGGAAATGGCCTCAAGTTGCCCCAGGGGAGGTTCAGGTTGGATATTGGGAACAATTTGTACACAGAAAGGGTTATGAAGCCTTGGAATGGGCTGCCCAGGGCAGGGGCACCATCCTTGGAGGGATTCAAAAGCCGGGCAGACATGGTGCTGAGAGACATGGGTTAGTGATGGTTTTATCAGGGTTAGGTTGATGGTTGGACTCAATGATCTTAAAGGTCCCTTCCAACCCAGACAATTCTATGGTTCTAACTTTAAACAAAACCAAGTTGTCAGTCCTGGGAAGGGTAATACCTGGGGAAAAGCAAATATATTTAGCATGAAAACATTCAGACAGGCGCATGAAGATGATAATGAGACAAAGATTATGAACTAACATACAACTGCCTCCAAAAGCATATTTTTGCCCTAAGAGAGTATCTATATCTGAATTTCTGTTGATTGTTCTTAACTGGGTGGCCATCTTGCTGGGACAGACATTGCTCATTGCATCAACACCTCATCTTTCAGGTGACAGAAGCTCAAATGCATGAATCGTCCGTGTGCCCTGACTGTCAGAAGAAGGAAGCAGAGTTAGCCAAGATCACCTTTCTCAGACGAACGAAGATTCTAATGGAAAGTGGTTTAATCCAAGAGAAATTGGAAGAACAGGTTTACTCCAGCGTAAGCAAATGCTGTTAAAAAAACCCCCATGTTGTGGTACATTTTATACATAGTGTAACTAAAGAATCCGTGAGTCAGATTTCCCCCTGATTTATGGCAATGAGATCAGATTGACCTGAATGTAGTGCAACTCAGAACAGAATTTGGCTCCGTATCATTAATAAAATGCTTGAGACTAATGGACTGATCAAGTCATCTGAGCTTGCCTGATTTATGAAAGCTGAAGGTCTTTCCCAGGATGTCCTAGAATTTGGAAACATCTTAATTATTTCTCCACGATTTGTGTTGTGATGGGCTGTCCAAGGCAAAATGGTAAATAGCAGGTAACTTAGGGAATTTCTGGGGTGTTTTGTGGCTGTTCCTCAGGATGATCTTCCTGAAGGAAGAGCTCTTCTCTTGCTTTGGAAAGGGAGTCAGATGGAAAGCTGTTTCTGAGTGATGAAGAAGTCATACTCTCTGGAGCCCTGAGATCTGTCTTTCTGTGTTTGTGGGCAGGGTGGAGATTTGTGCACTGTACAACACATTTCTTTTTTACCTAATAATGCCAGTCTCCTGGGTTTTGACTCCCATTCACTCCATACCTAAGATCTGAGAACTTCAGTCTCAAGTGAAGCTTCACTTTTTTCTCTTTTCTCCCAGCTTCCCTGCAAAGTCCAGCTGCTTTTTCCCTCCCCTCCTTAGGGAAGAATCCTGCTTTATGGGGCAGATCACTGGCTATGCTGTTCAACAAAGGTTTTTTTTAAACAGGATGCCTTAAAAAGCCAGCAAAATTGTGCTGGTGAGTGCTGCTACCAGTTGCTTTTGAGGGACTGGCTGTAGCTGCCAGCGAGAGGCCTGTGATGCAGGACACGAGAAAGGGCACGAATACAAACCTGAGTCATTTTCACCTTTCCTTTTTATTTCAGGATGTGCTCACACGTATTGGAGAAGCGCTCGGAAGCTTTCCCAAACCATCAGAGGATCCCAGGAACTTATGGCAAAGGCTGAAAGGTCAGAAAATGTAAGGCCTGAAAGTAGTAACCATAACTCAAGGACAGAAAGAGCTGGGAGAGTCCTCTGCGCGCAGCTGCGTACCGAATGCCAACGACTGTGGATAGAACCTGGTCTGTCAGTGATAAATTGGGTGCTGGTTTAATATTCTTGCAGGTGGAACCAGATATGCCCAGCGTGCCTGCATCTGGGATATGATTCCACTCTTTATTCTTCCTAAATGCAAATGTTGCAATATATTGTAATCCAACGATAAGCATTTTTCAAATTATAGAAGCCAACACTGTCTGTTATTAGCCTGACAATAATAAGTATTGTTTTTTTGTGGGATTGCTTGTGGGATTTCAGAGCAGCTCCCAGCTGCTTCCATCCATAAGAAAAATAAATGATTCCCTTTTTCAGGGCAGGGAGGTGTAATTACTGGATTTCAGCTCAATCACTTCCCCTTCCCTTTTAAATTGAAAGTGAGAGCCCCAGGTGGAGGAGAAAAAGAAGGTTGCAAAGTAACTATAGAAAGGAGTCAAATGAAATGGGATATTTATAGAACTGAAATAATGGGACTATAACAGAAATTAATCAGCAAGACTGAGGATGCCAACAGGACAAGAAATGATAATAAATTAATCATAGAGCCTATACAGGGTAGGTGTCTAGGAAGAGAAAAAAACAACATAGATTAAAATTGGAATAAGATGCCAAATAGGATTTTTGACCGTTTTTTGAATATACTTTGGAATTTGTTGTAATTTGCTGTGATTTTTTTTCAAGATGGCAAAGCCGCTGTGTTTCTAAGAATATGTCTGGGGGAAAGGTTGGTATTCAGTTCACAGCCAGATAAAATGGCTTTATGCTGGGGATCTCAGAGGGTTGGAGGATGAAATCATCTTGGCTGTAGCTTCAGAAGGTGTGTGCTGCTCTGGGGGCACAGCTGCAGCCCACCTTTCTGGTGACTGCTGATGGCAGGGGCTCGTGGCATCGCTCTTGCAGCGACCTCGTGGCTGTTAGACTTGGGTGAGTCAGAAAGTCACTGACTCTTGTTAGAAACTCCCCAGTTTCCTGCTTTGTGTGCACTTGGATCTCTGAAGGCTGTGGATGTCTTGGAGGAATATGCTTATCTCTGAACTCTTACTGAATTTTTGTCACAAAGGAAACAGGATTAAATCTTACCGTTGCATTTTATGTTCCTGTTTTGGGGACGAGAATGTATACTGTTGAAGTTGGTTTTGTATTTTATATCCATGTAGATATTTTCTTTTGTATTCTATGTATTGCTTATAAGAGTGCTTGACGGGCTGTTCAGACTCTGGTTTTCACTTCCCACCAATCAATGGAAAACTGAAAAGCAATGCCAGGCTATAGAGGTAGGTAGACCCGCCTGTGTTAGCAAATATCTGCTTTTTGGTGCTTAAAAACCCTACCTTGAATGATTTCACTGGGAATTGATCCCGAGTAGGTGAAGCCCCAACTGAAAACGCAGTGCAGCCCTGAGTTGTTCCAAGCTGGTTGTCCTTGCTGTGTCGGCGGCGCTTTGTTCTGGTTCCTTGTAAACAGCAAGTTTACTATTCCGTCAAAAATATTCCCCTAAGCTTGGCTTTAACTTTGGAATTGTCACTGCAGATCACATAGCTTCATATATAATGAATAAACTGCTGCTTCTTTCTTCCCATTACTCTATAATCCCTGAAATCTCCCACCCTCCAATCTCAGAAACCTTTTCTTTTTAGATGCTCCGTCTCTGTTCCTTATTTCCTTTGGACTATGTTCCCTCTCTCACTCCAGCCTTTCGAGGTGTCTAACAACCTGCTTGAAACTAGGCAAAGGGTGCTCATTATTCCATGTGAAGTCTGGTAAGGGCTGTTGGATCCAGAAATGGTGACCAGGAACTGAATCATTTGAAAAATGTCATTTTGTTGTTACTGCCAACGAACAGGGCTTTCAGGCCTTACAGAAACCACAGCAAGTGAGTTCCAGGGCTCTACATATGCATTGCTTATTTCTCTAAGTAAAAGAAGACATTTTGATATTTTTCCTTCCAGTCCATAGATGCTTTCTAGAAACACTGAAATGTGTCTCTGCAACTCTTGTCAAACCTTTAGGTAAATACAGCGAGCGATGAGCTATTTGGGTCAGGCATCTGACAGCATTTGTCTGTGAAGCACCGTAGGTACTCGTGCAGCAGAGTGGCTGAGCACTTCTTGTTTGTTTGCATAAATGTTACAAAGACAATTCAGATCACTCCTCTGAAAAATCAAAGCACACTTTGCTGACTTCTGTTGTGTGTGTTCCCCTGCCGCTCACTCTGGTTCTGTCGGTTTTTTTTATCAAGAGTGACTCTGAGATCTGAGTGTTTTCTTGTAGCAGCTATTAGGGATGTACAACAGAACAAATGATTCCAGTCTCTAAATAATTTATTTCATAATCCTGCCGTGTTTGAGACTAGAGATCCAAAAACTCTGACAAGGAGGGGGGTGGAAATAAAAGTGGATCATGTCTCTTCCTTTTTCCCCCCGTCACAGGAGCTTTCCCCCCTTCCTCAGCAGTAGATTTTTCTTTTGATCCCAGGAAATACTCTAAAACTATGATCAAGAAATATTTATTCACGTGCTCTCATGTTTGTGCCTGCTGGGTGTGAAAGGAGTGGGGTGGATGAAGGGTGATTGAGGTGGCAGTGGCTGGAGCTCTGAAATAAATCACCCTCCCTGAGAAAAGTGCTTTGGAGCTTTCCCTTTCTACCTTTCATGCTACACGTGGCTGCATTATTTAATCCTCTGGATGCTTTGTGATGTAGGAGAGCTCATGGCTTTGAACTTTGTGCAAGTACAGAAGGGTTTTTCTTATATACGTTGTTTTCTATGATGTGTCTGCTGATAACCAGCTGTGTGATGTTACACTTTGTAACTGACCCTTTGGATAAACTGACATTCCTCAAATTATCATTAAAATCAGTTTCCTGTGACAGCAATAATGGAACTTTCACTTTCATTTGGTCCAGCTTTCTCTATAAAAAAAAAAATAATTAACCTGGCTTGCAGGCTCAGTCATTTCTTGGTCTTGTTTCTAACCAGCTGTTGGCCATGGGACTTGGCAGGTGTTTCTCTCCTGGGATGAACTTCCAGCTCATTCCCAGTGAATGGAAATGAAGTTTTAGTCAATTAACGTGCCTGGATGTGAACTGGGAACAAAGACAAGCACGTTTGAATACTGATTTCCAGCTACTTGTGAGAGATGTAGTCCCAGAATGGTTGTCCAGTAGTCCTTATGTTAATCCTGAATCTTTTCTCTGAAGCCATACTGAAAAGTGAAATGCTTCAGGCCCACTTCTCATAAATCCAGCTCCCAGTCCTGCGTTTATTGTGTGGCAAGAGTCAGGTCTTTGGTTTTTTTTTTTACCAAAAAGCACCAGTTTGATCAGCATCCAAGGGAAGCTGAACCCATTTATTCATACTGAGAGCCTGACAAAGATTTTAAGCTGGTGGCAGCGAGGACAGGGCTCTGCTGCTGGGAGGGATGACGTTCCCCTGTGAAAGGGTTCACTCAGCGCCCAGATTCTCCTGCAATAAAAACCTGAATTGTGGCTTTCAGTGCAGTTCCTCCAAATGGTACATCCGTACTCCAGCAAGAGCTGGAGTGCTCCCAGCTACGTATTTTTTAAAGCATTTTGAAATACACTTGCATTCTTCAAATTGTAATTTTATTACCATTCAGGATGTTTTTTGGAGAATGACTTTTTATTTTTTCCTACTCAGTAAGAGCTAACCCAGACACGGGGCATAAATTGTCACTGCCTGTGACAGAGCTGGTGTTCTGAGTGCTGCTGTGTTTAAAAAATGGTTTTTAATTTTGTGAATCCGTATATTAGTCTTATGAATACTGCATTTGCATTGTTTTTACACAACTAGCTCTTCCCTTTTCCTCCAGAACTGATTCTGCAGATCTTTGCCTGCGCCGACAGCAGCCTGGTCTGTACGGAGGAGGCTGGGAAACGAGGGGGGTGTATTCCTTCTGTCAGTAAGGTATAGCTCCTCTCTCTTTCAAATGACCTATAGAATTGATCAGGATACCTTAAAAAAAAAAATTTCTGGCTTCTGGGTGTGGATATTCACTGCTTATTTATTTATTTTGTAATAAAATAGTACTGTTTGTTCTCACATAGACTTGTGTGTATGATCCATAAATACGTTTGTAAAATATATCTGTAGCACGTAACAGAATCCTTTAGAATATTCTGTGAAAATTCATATTTTTAGTTGATAGCACTTTAAGAACATTTACATCCTTCATCTTGACATTTTTAAATAGAACATTTTTTGCCTACAGAAGTAAGTTTACAGCATCATCACAGTATTATAGCTTGTTGAAAAATACAGACAGCATTACTGGTAATTGCAAGCAAGCTATATACTTGAGCAGGGTTTTTTTTGTTTGTCATTTTACAGGTTTTCTACTTTTTAAAACAATTACGCATATTAGTATTACATCCATCACTTTGTTAGAAAATATTACTTGCATATGCTACTCACAATAATCTGTTGTTTTCCCGGGACGTAATATTACAAGCTATGAAAATAGAAACACACCATCGTATGGTCGGTTTTAAAAAAAAAACAAAGACAAGCCTAGTTTAAAAAAAAGTGCATTAGGCTTGTTCTTTCCTTGGTAAGTTTGGGTTCTGCTGACGTTGGGTGTCCTTAATCCACTTGTGGCTGTAACGCCGCTAGCACCTCTCGGCAAAGAGGGAGGAGATCCTGATTCACCACCTGGTGACACACGTAGGGCTTGGGCCTGCATCCCTTCTGCCTGGAGCTCCTGCTGGGGACACAAAGAGTTCCCAAACTCCAGGCTTTCAGACCCAGGCCAAGTAGCTGGGAATCTGATTTACTTCAGACTCCCAATTGGATTTGGAAATCTTCAGCCAGATGATTAGATCAAGTGCAAGGCAACAGAGCTCTGCTGATGTTCATGGACTGCTGGGGTTGGTGTTCAACCAAAACCTGACCCTCCTCCTTCCACGGACCAGTGGGGTTTGGGGAGAATGTGAGTGGCAGGTTTAAATTTACTGCTTTAGTCATACAGTAGAGAGTAAAAATACATGGTTGTGTTGGTCTTTGCACAAATGAGACTAAATATATAAATATATATATATGTATAATAAAGCTGTAGGAAATCTCCAAACTGCTAACAACTCTTATAAATGAGAAAAAACAAGGATATACTTGTTTGGAAATCTCATAGCTGCTGTTCTTTGATTATTTTCATTTTCAGGTAATGGGAGAGTATTTCACGGTGGATCCTTTTTTTTATGAAACAAGTCCAGGAGTGCTTTGAAACATGCTCTTTTCCTGGTCTTTCTGATACTCCTCTTGTGCTTTCTGCAGTTGCCTCCCTCTCAGTTTCCATTTGTGAAAGCAGTAGGTCACTATGGATGTCGTTACCAAAGAGAAAATAATAACCAGCACTATTATCAGTGCGATGGTGGACGAGAGGGACCCCTCCAGCTGCTTGGGTTCAGCGTCTCTCGTTGTGTTTAGTTTGGCAAAGTTGTCATAGTCTGTTGAGGCCAAAAGTGCAGGTACAGGAACTTCTTTGAACTTGGGCCTCATTGGGACTCCAGGGGTGTTCTCACTCGGTCAGAATTTCTGCAGCAGCGAGGACTATGGTTCCCTCCTCACCGGGGGCATCCGTGGGACTCTTTTCTCCTGGGGTTCTCCGGGCATAGGTGATGCTCAGGAGCTCTGCTTGCTCAGGGGGGCCTTGAAATAACTGTATGTGTCCCAAAGCTGACAGCACAGGGCATCTATAGCCAGAGTTGTGCAAGTTTCTACACGTGTGCTCTGCTGTCTCCTTTCTCAGAGGGGTGGGGGAAGCTCCTCAGCTCACTGCCCGTTTGCGATTCTTTGTTTTCTTAAAGAGATAATTGAAGAAAATCAAATCAATCTTCCAGTAGCGTTGCGGTGGCAGGGCTTATCCTCGGGCTTGAAAGCAAAACAAGCGCTGCAACAAGTGTAGTTCCTATCTCAGGAGTTTGTTCAGTGAGAGGTTGTTTTTCTTCCCCCAAATATTCCCCAAAGAGAGTGAAATCAAAGGCGTATTTTTTTGCTGAGGGGCAGGCTTGGTTTTGCTAACATCACAGGCGTTAACAAAATTGGCTACAAACCAGGAGCTCTCATGTTAACGAAGGGTTTCTATTTTCCCCTCTTCTTTGATATTTGCTCTCAGACTTGGCATGTCTGGAGAGGATTTTGATTTGGGGATTTTGTCTTCTTTGTACAGGAGTTTAGGAGATGTCCTCACTGATGGCAAATCTGGAAAAATGACCTGGGTGAAAAATGACACGGGATTATTTAAGAGGTGAGCTCCCCTGAGGGCGGTGAGCTGTAATCTAGAATTTAAAAACCTTACTCTCTCATAATTCTGATAGAATTTCAAATAGGTTTAAGGCACTCGGCTTTGAGACATGCTGTGTGTGACAAATCCTAAAATATTTACTCATCTGAGCGGTTCTGAAGCTTAAAGAGCTGGTCTGGGGAAGGTGAAGGACTGATCTGCCCCCCCCCC